TTAATTCTTATTTTTATTTTATTTAATTAAACCCTTCATTTTTTTATTTATTTTTATAAATTCCCATTTTCCAACCGTAGCTGATAGCATCTCTATTTTTAATCTCTCCTTCCTGAGCTCCCATCGTGACGTGACGGAATCGCCTAGGATCAGCGCGGCCCATCAATGTTTCCTTTTCATAATGACCCTTTTGACCTCGCCCTTTCATTTACTCACCAAAATGCCATTCCTTACCTAGTATGGTAGGCACCTCTTTATCCGAAATTAAACAGTTGATTTGATCAACATTGCATAATACGAATCTATAAAACATAGCTAGTGATTAAATTATAACAGTCCAATATTATTTCATTGGTAACAAATAGTCAATTTTACTAGAACATTATAGGTTACATCCTACTTTATTATTTTATCGTGTTTGACGAGATAAATATGAGAATTTGAAAGCATACCTTTCTTGGATTCTATAAAAATTAATTGGAGAATTTTATAAATGAATTTGATGTCATGGCTTATAGTGTGGAAAGTTGTAAGTTTAACAAGAGGACTTTGATCAGATGTGAATGTATTGGATTAAAGGTTAGTTTTACCAACTTTATTCTTTGACTACGTTGAATTTGAAGATCCCTTAGAGAAAAATGTGGTATTTTTGTCCCTTTTTTTATATTTCTGTAAAATAATTAATTAAATTTATTAGTTGCCCTTTTCATGGTTTCCAAAATATATTTATTGTATTTTTATTAGCTTATACGTGTGCACCTGGTACCTTTTTATGTTTTCTTTTCATAACATGAATACTAGTTCAATTTCTTGAAATATAATAAAACTTAAATTTTGATTACAGCAACGTTCAAAATCTAAAATATTAAAAAAAAAAAAAACAATTTCTTTTGGGGCTAAGTAGATCTTTTAGTTCTTAATAATTAGAAGTTTTTTCAATTTAATTGTTAAATTTTAACATTTTTTAGTTTAATCCATTCACCATCATGTTAAAATTAACTAATGATAAATTTATCTGACATGGTTTAACGAGAATTTAGAGGGAAAAAAAGATTACTGAGAAAAGGAAAACAGAAGAGATTACTGAGTGAAGGAAAATTAAAATTTATACCAATTTTTTTATGCCATTAGGAAATTAATTAAAAAAGAACCTCTTAGATAATATTTTTTCTCTAGATTTTCATTAATTCATTAAATTTTGTGTCATATACATTTATGATCATTCGGACTGCTTCAGGGAAAAACATTTGTCGATTGGAGGGGATAAATTGAAAAATATTAAAATATTAAAGACTAAATTAAAAAACATTCAAATATTATGAACTAAAATATTGATTTATCATTTTTATAAAAATAAAACAATCTTATTTATTAAATAAAAAAGCTGTAAACAAATTATAAATTCTACTTTCTTCAAGTTTGAAAAAATAATTTGTTGTTTAAAAAAACAATGTTATTTACCAAAATTTTATATTTCACCTTCTATTTTCTAATATAAAATTTAAATTCAGCAAAAGTTTTTAAAAATAAAGACTAGCATTTTAAAAACCACTGGTCTTCTTTGAGATTTCACTAATATTTTAACAAATTTTCTTAAAGCCATATTATTTTTATACATATGTGAAAATCAAAACACATACAAACAAAGTTATTTTTTAGAACATAAAATCAAGCACAAAATGATTACTAAAAGAACATTTGAATGATAGTAAACATAATGATTTGTTTTAGAAATAATTACAAAAATAGCATAAAAAAATATTTAAAATTTTATAAAATTAACATAAATTACAAACTTTACAATCACACAATACTAACAAAAAAAAAAGTACTTTTGTGATATTTAAATAAATAAAAAGTAATAATATTTTATAAATACATATTTATTTTATGCTATCTAGTGTAGTTTTCTTTTATTTTTTATTCAGTAATACTAGACTAAATCTGTCTAATTTAAATAGCCTACGTTAACGATATAAAAAAAGCACCAGATTTTCTATGAGTTTGATAAAAAAAAAAGTACAGATACTTTATTCATACAAGGTTTCGACGGAATACATTTATTATACGACAAAATTATACCAATATTTAATTACAAATCCACGAGGATCCATAATTTGTATAATATGTACATATATCATTTGAATCAAAATAAGCAATACTTAAAAAATCCTCCATCAATTTTTTTTTTTTAAAATCGATTATTGAGAATAAGAATATTGCTGAGAGATCTGATCTGTATTCTTATTTTTTTATTGTTTGATTAATGGGTTGGTAGCCATATCTTACAACTGGAGTTTGGTGGTTTAAGATATTAATTAATCGACAACGTTAGAGATTTGATTATGAAACCATGCAAAACTTTGGACAAATCTCAATTGCCTTCTTCATTCTCCAATACATTTTTAATAAAATTCTCTTCAAAGATATTTCCTTTTTACCACACATATAATTTTTAACTAATAATCGATAGTAGTTATCTGTTTAATTCCGTCTCCTAATTTTGTTAAAATTTACCATCCATATGACATTAAATATCTAACTTAAAAGTCAACTAAAACATAGTTTAACTCATTAAAGAATATATATGTCGGATATAAAATAAAAATAAAATGATTAAAAGTATATGTCAATTACTGCCGAGCTATACTCGCTTTGTCAACTAAAAAACAAAATGGTTAAGGATCTTAGATGTTAGAAAATTACTTGTAGTATTATAATACCTTAAATAGGTGACTACGATGAAGTTATTAAATTCATTATCCCAAAATGTTATATATCTTTCAAATTATTAAATTTACTATAATTTATTGGCTTAAACTTTTGAGTTCAGTGGTGATTTGATTATATTTGAAATAGTATTAGAGCACGATATCTTGTGTTCCAATTCTCGAACGAGAGAGTATTCGTGAACTTAAATTCATGGAAATTGAATCATATCTCTGAAAAGGGAAATGATATTTAGAATGAAATTGGTCTGCGAGTAGGCAAGGATGATAATCAAAAAATTGGACTAATAAGTAGTAGTTTTTTTAATATTAAGTTTGTTGGTATGTGTGGGAATAAATTAGAAAATGTTGTGCAAACTAAATCATCAAAGACAGAGACACAGGCAAGTGCGGTGCTGGCCCACTCTGTGGCCCATTTGCAAGTAGTGGATTGCCCAATTACATTTCTTTCGGTCTCAAATTTTATATTTTTATTTTCTTCCTTTATTATTATTATTATTATTATTTGGCTATCTGGGTGCGGTTTATATAAATACAAAAACAAAATAAATTTTGTTGTATGTCTTCCACGAATTCAGAAGGTATAGACTCATTTGGCAAAATTACTATTTTTGTTTTTTGTTTTATTTTAATTATACAACAAAAAATTATATCGTTTTTGATTTAACATGATATTTTAATATTGATTATTTTCGGACATGGAAAAGATTAAATTATATCTCAGCAAGTTTTTAATATAAGTTCATAATGAAGAGGTATATATATCTCTAACCGTTGAAATTATATTTAGATTATCGATATATCAATAAATTGGTTTGTGAAAATTTTGTACAAAGAAAAAAAAATATGTTTTTTAAAGGAAAATAAAAAAGAAATTGAATTTAACTTTTGGAATAAGTTTTATACGAGGGTAAAACTCTTTATTAAATAACAAATAATGAGAATTTTATTTTTTATTAAAAGATGAAAAATGACATATGACATATATATTTGTGCACATTTTTGTTTAGTACAATATTTGGACTTGAAAATTGGTTTTTTAATCAGTTAAATTTATGTTCAGGTACACATTTGTGTACCACACATTTAACCATGTAATGAAATAACAAATAGAAGATAAATTTATTTTCGATGAATTTTGGTAGATTTATTTTTCTTAAACTATTTTTACACTATGTAATTCAGATAGTGAAAGATTTGAAAACAGTATTTTGTGTGTTTTTATATTTTAAATTTAAAACTCTATAATGCATAATTATACTATACAGTATAATTTTTTTTTGGATAAATATACTAGTTTGTTATAAATTCATATATTTTTGTTAAAATTAAAATATGTATAACATAATATATTTTAAATTATATTATATTATAAAATAATAAGTATCCCAAATTATAACATATATGTTAAATGTATTTTAGGCTAAATTAAATATTTTATGGTAACTTCCAGTTTCCAAATATATTCCAAATATATTACAAATATATTACAAAGACGATTTTTGAAATTGAGATTCAATTTTTAAATTTGCTACAAAACACATATTTAAAAATATTGGGAATATAAATTTATTTTTGTTTGAATTTCTTATTTTTACACTACCAACCAAAATATGACTAAATAATTTGGTTGGAAAAGGGAAAAGAAAAAAGGCGTGGGGGCACATGCCCCCGCTAGACCCAACATGTATCTCTTTAACTATTTGTTTTTTTATTTCCATAAGTTGAATTTTAAATTTTATCTTTACTATATAGATATTTATCTCCATTCTATATACTTTATACATACCAACACTTTACACGAGAATGCTTTAATTTTATTTCATTCCATAATATGAAAAAAGTTGAATGAACTTGATATATAACCGATTAGCATGGTTTTCTAAAATTAGACCAACAAGAAAAGTGAAGATTTAAATACTTAGTATCAATAAGATGCATTTTTGTCAAATTTGTGAATTCAAAAAAGTATATAGAATAATAGGCTAAAAATATGTTTTAGTTTCGTTTGACTGTTTTCCAATTGTCCTCGTTGATTAAAAATTTCAATTCAAATCTGAAACGTGTCAACAAGTTTACATAATACTTATAGAAAATTTTGAAATTTCAACGGATTTCTTAAAAATTTGGAGGTCCTCATTTTTTTCTTCAAGTTGTTCCGTGTATATTATATCATGTAAGTATCATTACTTACTACGATGAATAATTAAACTGAAACTTTTTAAACAAATACCGAAATATTGGGGACTAAAACATATATTTAACCTAAAAAAATATCATTTTTCACACCAGAAAAATCTAAATTTGTTGAAATATAATAACACTAATCATCTTAGATTGGCTTATTGGTTTTTTTTTTTTAACAACATATGAGCTCATTAGTTTAAAGATACTAAGATAAATAAAAAATATTTAGAGGGAATGAGTTCAAATTCTATTATATTCGTATTTAATAAGTTGCTTTAGCAACTAAATATAAAAGGAGTCAAAGTGAGTTTAACTCAGCGATAATTGACTTGTAACTCCAACCATGGAATGGTAGACGAGGCACTTAAAATAAATAATAATAATAATAATAATAATAATAATAATAAGAGCATTAAATTGAAAGGGAATACTTACAATTGAGATGAAACGTAGGTGGGAGGGGTTTGTTATGATTGGCTTTGAGTGAAAATTGGCGTTGGATGGGAAATTTTGGGAAGCACGCTTGTGGAGCCCACCACGGTACTCCACCTGGTTTAACAGTTATTTGCATTGCCAATTACTGATTATATTTTAGACTTTATAAAATATTCAAAGTTATTTTAGCCTAGCTTGTATAAGACTTGGAAGACACTAGTACATAAGTTACTTGGTGGTCTAGTCTAATTAACAAATAAACCAATTTAAGCGGAGCAAGCAACTATAACCCAAACTCGAGTGAGATGAATATTTATTCCCACGCTATGAGGTGAGACAGGATTTCGTAGAAATATTAGTCTTTAAAGTCTTATAAATTATATGTAATTCAACATTTTCCTTTTTGTTTTTCAGTTTACATGCATCTTGACTAAACTTCGAAACATGATTCGTGTATGATCAAAATACAACTAATGTAATGTTTCTATCCTACGAGCCAACTCTAGCACATCAATTTCATGCGTAATTATAGTTGCATCAATACAAGCGTCGCAGTTTGAGTCATCTTGGAGTCATGCTACGCTTGTTCATGAAACTGCATGCTAAACTCCTAACAAGATGCATTCAACATAAAATTGCAATTAGGTATGACATATCTAACATGATTTAAAATTTCCATCACATATTTTATTCAAAAAAGAGGTCAAATATATATATATATATATATATATATATATATAATTTTTTTTTCCTCTACCACCAGCTATGCTAGAGTGCACTCATGAAACCCAATTTAACTATATGGGAAATTAAGTTCACTCAAGTAGCTACCATGATACACATTTCTCTTGGTTTTCTTTTTAGTTTTTATGACGCCTACCATTGTTAAGATACTCGTACTTTGAGAATAACCTCCTCTAGTCATTTGGTAATCGGTAAATTATAAGTTTAAAATTGAAACTAAATCTAAATCGTTAGAATCAAATTGAAACTTTAACTTTTAAAAACACAACACACGGACAAAATTAAAGTTAACTCTGAACCATATGAATTAAACTAAAATTTTTAGACCAGGAAGACTATTGTATATGTGACCAAAGTCTCGTCAATAATATTTTGATCGAGGAATGTGATCATGACCCACATTAGACAATAGACTATATGTTAAAAATGAATTAAGAGTAAAAAAAGGAAAAAGACCCGAGGTCTGGTGACAGGCGTAGAAGATGAAGTGAAGGACAAAGTGAGCAGAAAAGAGAGTCCAATGACCAATGCCCCGCCGCCCTGGGAATGTGCTCAAAGCCAAAGAAAAGATTGAAGGAGAAGGAGGTATGTTGTAATGACGTACGGTGATGGGAGGGTGAGAAGACAACCCAATGAACAGCAAGCAAAGAAACGTAACGTCCTTCTGTCACCCAAACCCTAACACACAGACCACACCACACATCACCTCCACATTCTCACGTCTCTGCCCGATCCTCACTGTTCGACGGTCAAGATTCACTTTCAGAGTCTTTATTTGTAATTTTGATTTTGTTGGACCGGGTCGTCATCCACCCATCCATCTATCCATCCGTCACAGCCGGAACCGGAGTACGGGACGGCATCTAGTGGTGCTGTCAAAGTACGAACCTACCACTTGCGTCATCCTATCATCCCCGAGGGGGAGGAGACTCGAGACATTGATATTCAAGAATGTAGGTCGGTCAAAAACTCTGATACCCTACTCAACTCAACTCTCATCCCTTATGCCTTATGTTATAAAAACAAATCTCTCATTTTTTATTTTCTTCTTATTATCTCTTTCCATTTCCTACTTTCAAATATATCCATACATTTAGATATTAAGATCCACTTAATCAAATGGAGTCCTTCGATTTAAGTTTTTGTTATTTTTACTTTTTAAAACTGTTTTCAATTCAAATATTGAAAATTCTGAAAACAAATATTTTTATGTTTGTAGTGTTTTCAAAATTTGAAATCTTAAAATGCTGAATTATATTAAAAAAAATAAAATCTTCGATAAATATATCATTATAAACTCATTTTGTCTCGTTGAAATCAAAACGTTTAAAATATAATATATTATAAATCATATAATATTGTAAGCTAATAATTATACAAAATTTGTAACAAAAATATGAATAAATTAATTGATATTGTTTTAGATTAAAATAAATATTTAGTTGGTAATTAGTGTTAATTTACTAATACATTTCTAAGTTAAAAATTTTTTTAACTTAAAATAAAATTTCGAACTTGCTACCAAACGCATGAAAGCACTTAAAACAACCCCCTTGGATTTTAGCCAATAAATTTTGTTAGTGTGATTGAATAGTTAGTGGGTAAAATATTTCATGTGATTGATAACATGAAGTGTCTTCCAATAGAGTTGAATCCGTTGGTTGTTTTCAAGAGCCAAAATGATTTTTCTCTGAGTGTGCGCATGAGAGAGCACTCGCCATTATGTGGCCAATAAAAGACAAACCATGAAAAGAAAGAACTAATAATATCGACAAATTTCAAATCACATTATTTCCAACTTCCAAGGCTCTTATTAACATGTCGCTGAAATGTCTCACTTCAATTCCTTCAATTCAAAATTTTGGTTTTGTAAGGAACCTAATGAATCAAAATCATGATTTCAAATACATGGAAGCAAAGTCCATGAAGTCCTTTGTAAACTTGCCACTTTAGTTTCAAAATGTACACATACAAACGACACTTCACTTCCACACTTAGCTCTATACATTTACCAAGGACGACGTTTAATTTAACACGAATACAAGAAATTATTACATTTTGTTTTCGACGTTGGCGATGGGGAGTATCTACACCGAGCAAAATTTAGAGCAATGGGTTGTTCCCATTTCAGTCCAGCGACTGCAGAATCCTCCACCTCAGAGGATCAGTTTACATTATATTTGGAATGTCTAATGAACTGCATTGAAGGGAAATCTGCTTGCTATCTCATGGATCCGAGCAGCTGGTCGAGCATATACTTACTGTCTGTGGAGTTGGTATTCTGGGATTTCTGCAGACATCTGCATTCGGGTAAAGGGTAAGTGTAGACCGATGTTTTTCGGTTGAATCGTCTGATTCTAGGTACCATCAGCCCCTTTCGGTCACTCTCCGAAAGCATTACCCCCATTTGTTCCTTGAATTCTTTCCAGCTGCAAAATTGACATGATACAAAGTTATCCGGATGGCAACAATGCTCTGGGGCAGAAATAGAATGATATGGAGTTCATCTTGATATTTGTCTGTCCTTAATTTTTCAATGAATTATAATCACTTGGTTGAAAGTTCCATGGGTGAATGAATACCTTAAGTTTATTCTGTTGTCCATTAAAATGGCAAGCTTTCGTTTATCAGGCTTGATTGTCTTGGCGTGTCCGTCAAAGAGGAACCGCCGATGCCCCATCAAAAAGTGTGGAAAGTTACCTCCTTGAGTAGTCACAAAGACCTCACTTAACAAGCACACCATATAATCTAGAGCTGCCAATCTTGAAGAATATCCCTGTCGGTGAAGAATATACCAACTATTAGTTCGAGATGGAATGAAGAAGATCCATGATATATATTTCTTTTCTTTTCATTTCGAAGGGATCCCTTGAATTCGCCAAAGCGGGAATGGGATCTTAAAGATCAAATATGCAAAACTGGTTGTCACACTCAAAAAGTTTTAGTAAAACCATTGTGTTTCAACATCATTATAAGTTCTTGCCTTGCTTTCTAGAACTTGACAAGTGGAGGAGTTAAATTTTGAACTTGTAAGAGCTTCTGAGTTGAACTGAAAGAGATGGCAGGTTCAACAAGCGTGGTAATTATAATGTTTTCACGATTGATAGTTTTCTCATTTTCGCTCAGCATTCTCCCAAATAGTAGGATCATGCAGTCATGGTTTTTCTAAGATCTTACAGAACCATTAAAGTCGAAATGATAAGATTTACCTTAAAAGGAGCAAGCTCGTCTAGCGTCGCAAGAGATTCCTTCGTATGCAAAAGAGGAAACATTTCCTGCAGTGGAGCTAAATATCTCTCTGACCGGTATAGCTTACCCGAAGCCAAATAAATCGAAGTGTTATTATCAAATCCCATACCGCGCAACATCATTCCAACCTAACATGATCAGAACAAAGCTTGAAAAGTTAAACATAGGAATGTGATTGAATAATTAAATACTACAACATAACATAAGCTTTTGTGAAATAAATTGTTACTAGAACATGCTTGTTCAAGAACACATTTGATTAAGTGTAATTTCTTGTGGGCTCAAAAGTTATAACTTTTGCAAAAGAAGGGAAAAGGGATCATTTATAGATACCTCCAAGGGGGTTAATGGGCATTTTCCATTCATTCGGTTAAGACCCGATGAAATGAGATGGTCTTTGAGTTTGAACTTTTGCCTCCATCCTTTTTCTCGAATTGAATCCATTTCAATTTTTTCAGCTTCACCGCCATCATATACACAACAGGAGAAAGCCACCATGTCCTAGAGTTCAGATGTGATCCTCAGATGATGAGCTTAACAAAAGCAAATGAAAAATAAAAATAATAAGTTGATGAGAAGACGATGAAGCGTTAGTACCTCCTCAAACCGTAGGTGGACGGAAACATACTTCCCATCATCCCTTGAACTCTTTTCAATCATCCGGGTAACTAGCTTACGTGCAAGAGTCAGAATGGGAGAAGAGAACCTCAGTGCTTCATAATTTGCCAGGCATCTTAAGAATTGAATTTCAGGTGGAATATTCATAGCCAATCTGTTGGCAAAAGGGGATACTCGAACAACCCTGCATCATAATAGAACCAAAATGCGTGGGCCAGTTTCCTTTAGTTTCAGATATTATAGAATGTCAATAAGAAACGGTGGAGGCCTGAGCGGAAACCAATTCACACTGTTACATACCCTTCCCTTTGCAGAACAGGTAGAACCTCTCCCAAATAATAATTAGCAGGAGACCAAGCTTGTACGTGAAAGTTTGGAATATTAGAGATGTTGTAATCATATCTTTGCATTAAAGCCCCAGGTAGCTCTTTGACAACTTTAACATAACCTTCGAGGGCGGCTATGAAATGATCTTCATCATAAATATCACCAAACTTACTGAAACAAATTAACAAAAAAAAGAAAAGAAAGAAAAAGGAATGGATTTCAATATGCTCTTCTAAGAAATGAGAGGATATATGAACCTAAGGAGAGTAAATTCATCATTCTTGAAACGATTTTTAGCTATATGTTCACATAGCATTTTCACTACTATCCTAGATTTTCTAGGATATTTATCAGAAATGAATTTGAATTTAAATATTCAATAAGAGCTTTAGGTATGAGCATGTAGCTAACCATCTAATAAGTTACTGTAGTCCATATAACAAATTATGTCGGTTGCACCACATTCAATTGTCTAATCACTGCTTAAGACATAAAAAGGAATTTATCATATATGATTAACTCTCCTTATACCTGAGATTATAGGTAAAACTTAAAAGGCATTCTTCATGTATAAGTTCACATATGAGATTTGACACATATAAAGCAGTTTAACCTCCAAGAAGTTGCAAACAGAACGACCACATGATTAACAGAGTTGTCTAAGTACTTTTATTTGGTAAGTCCATATAACAACTTAAGAGCTCCTCAACTCCTAACTTGACCCATTTCTGGTTGTTTAAGGTAGATTGACGAGATTGGACAGGATCATGCCATGGAACTGAAAATGAAAATCATAATAAAGTGGAAAAGGAAAGCTCTCAGTACCACGACCCAAGAATTCAATATGCATACCTTGAATCCTTCCAGACATTGTGGAACTCAAAGCGGGGGACAACTAGAATGGCATTTAGAAGCCCTGCTACAGCCACCGCATTGCAGATCTGCCAAAAGAGGAAAGGATTGACTTACAAAGGTGCCAATCGAATAACTGAAAATGCAAACTTCGGTGCAAGAACATTGTAAAAGGTGAGAGAGGACAAATAATAAGTTTGCAATATAATACAACTTCCGCTAGAAATATGGAAAAGTGCATACTGCAGAGCGTTGCTGATTGAGTCCACCATTAGCATCCACAATCAAGTAAGTTGTAGGTTCACTGGACTCTGAAATTCAAAGGAAAGAATATTTAATCCAGAGAATAAGTTTGCAAAGGTATTTGACATGAGATGGAAGATGGAAACAGAAACCACACAGTTTTAGAATGTTTTGTTAAAAAATTGTATAGCTTAAGAAAAGTTAAAGCCTTCAGTTTAGCACTAGACATTTGGTCAACTCTGCAGTTCTCACACCTGAATGCGGTCGAGAAGTTGAATTTGAACATGGCTTCCTCTCCTTCATCCTTTTGTATTTCCAAACTGATGACAGCTGCAAGAGAAATAATACACATTTTAACAGATTTAGAGCAATGCAGCAAAACAATCCATGTAACGTCACGGTCTAATATTTCTTTTTTACAATATCTAATCCAGAAGTCAAACTGAGATAAACTTTCCATTGAAATGGACAATGTAGTGCCGGAGTTGACTAAAATATTACCCAACACATTTTTGTTTGAAAAAGACTTAAGTCTGGTAAAAATATGTTAAGTTGGATCAAATGTTTTCAAAGCTTTATTTTACTCTTCATTTGTTTTCACTACTTGTTCGTTTTTCATAATTGTTCAAACAATAATTTCAATCGTATGAATAGACTCAAGACTTACAATAGCCAGAAAGACAATCACAGCGTACAGAAACAATCCTTGAAAATTTTTAGCAATACAAACCACTTTCCTGTTTCACAAGTACATGAACTATAACTCCTTTCTTTTTTCTGAAAATGAGAAATAAATGCATGCTAGAATCAAGCTGTCAAAGGCGAAGTTTCACAAACTTAAAATGGTTTTCTTGTCCGATCCAGCAGAAAAAGAAATGCATAAATAGCATCTAAACAAATATAGCATTTGAAGCCATTCACTCTCAGAAAATTCCATTTAAGACTTCCAAAACAAGCAAATGAATTATTCAACTTCCATCTCTTTCAACAGTGATTTAACTTCACATTTCGCACCAAACATGTCAAATATTCAAGAACTGGGATCCCCCCACTTGCTTAAACCCCCAAAAGAGCAAGAATCAGCAAACGAATTGGCGCCAATATATCGAACACTCAAACTCCAAATCCCCCAATTCGCAATACGAATACAGCATTTCAGCAGAACCCCTCCCCAAAAAAATATATGAAAGCAAGAAGAAAGAGGATGAAACCTGAATTGCAGAGGAATTATCAGAGTGGATTTGGTGATGGAGGCGGCGAAACATTTGATGGCTGCTGTAGAGCGAACCAGGGGGAGGGGGCTGGGCGACGAGAGAAGAGAAAGGGCCAACGCACATGATCAAGCCAGAGATATAAAGCAGAGGAAGCAGCACCATGTATCTGAAGTTAAACCGGAGAGTGAGAGCACCGACAAACAGTTCCCGCAGCGGGAGGTAATAATGGGGCTTCGACCGGAGCTTCCGGCGGCACTTAGAGGCGTAACGCGGCGGCGAGTGAGGAGGGCTGGGAGAGCTACTGCCGCTGCTCTGAGCGCCGTCGCCAGAGTAGCCATTGGAATCATGGCCATGGTAGTGATGGGTCTTGGGTTTCATGGCAATGCGAACCAAATGCACGGAAGAGATCGCAGAATCCTTCACTGCAGTGTCGGTTTAGGAAGAAACCCACAAAGAATACAGCAAGAGAGAAGGATTAGTGTTGTTTGTTACAGAAACAGAGTAAAAAACTGGGAAAAGAGAGAGAGAAAAAGGGGTGAAATGGGGGAGTGGAGTGAAGATCAATGGTGGGATTTTGGAAGCGTATGGGCGTCCCTGATTCCGGGAAATCTTTTAGTGAGTGATGCAGATTTTGCAGAGAATTGTACAGAAAAGTGAGATTAGTGGAGACAAAGCAATCTGTAAGACGTACCATTTTATATGATATCCAGTGGGGAATGAGTTTGACTCATAATTGGCAATATGTTCTTTGCTGGCATTTTCGTAATTTCACACCTCGCTTTCCGTTGTTTGTTGTTTCCTAATTAACGCATTCTTTAAATAAAATAGCACGAACTCAAAGGGCTGTTTTGGTAATATCCACGTTATTTCTCTTCTCAAAAGCATCAATTTTCCCCCTTTTCTTTTTCTTTTTCTTTTTCTTTTTCTTTTTCCAATCACCCGTTTCTCTTTGTGTTCATGTTTCCAACACCCCTCCTCTTCCCCATAAATATTGAAAAATGGGTTAATTTACAAGGGAGTAATCTGGATTTAAAAAATTTATTAGTAATATATTAATAAATTAGTGTAGTTATCAATAACGGAATATTTAATTACAAATAATATTAATTAATTTATTATCCGTATATATTATAAATTTTGCAGAATTGTTATTTTATAATATTATGTAATTTATAATATTTTATACTTTTAAATTTTTAACAAAAGCAAAATGAGTATCTAGTATATTTATTATAGTTTTTAATAAAATTCTACTCTATAAAAGTTCAAATTCAAAATCTGGAAATACCGAAAACATAAAATTGTTGTTTGCAAAAATAGTTTTAAAAATCAACTCTGCATATTCATTTTACATACCAAATAGGTTCTAAGAAACCATTCTTCTTTAAAATATGGTTTTGTTTGTTTTAATTGTTTTTTCATATGTTGCAAGGAAAAAATAGATCTCACGGTCTAGTCTAAAGCAAAACTTGTCAAAAGTTGGATTGTATGACTAAAACTATGGATAGTACAAACGTACATATATCACTTTCACTTTGAACAATATATAACATAACTGGAGTAGAGACACTGTATAAATTTTGAAATTATATTCTCGTTGGATATGAGATATTCTTTTAATTGTTTTAGGTATACTTTCTAGGTGATTTATAATGGAACGTACCACTGCATTGTATCCTATAAATCATTGTACTTTCAAAAGTGTAGATGACGAAAAATAGAATACTCCCCCTTAAGAAAATAATAATAAAAATAAAAGGAATACTCTTTGCTAATTAATAATATTTTGAAAAACCAATTTCAGGTAATTCTAATAAAAAAATTTATATACAAATTTCTCTCTTCAAAATCTTCTTTGTGAATAAATTGTTTTCTAAAAATTATCCCTGTACAATAAATTTTTATCTTAAAATTGACTTCTTTTTTTTTTTTTTAATAAATAATCCCTTATTGATTCTCTTTTTAAAATGTCATTTAAGCGAGAAAGTGGACACACACCATATATGATGTCGCTTTTCTTAGAAAAGTCAGATTGGCATTTTCCACTTTTCTCCTCGACAAAACTAGCTGATATTTATCTAATTACAATAAATCATTTTTAATACCAAACTTAATGCATTAACTATATACCATTCCCAGTTCAACCTAAAAGCATAACATAATAACTTCCATGTTAATTTTATTTTTTTTTAGTTTAACATAAATGGTGATGAATTTTTGAAAGGTAAGTAATATTTTAGCTAGCTGAGATAGGTTCATATCATTAATTGAACATTTTACTTAATTTTTTAAAAATTAAAAAATAATTGATTAAATATGTCGTCACAAAGATAATTAATTATTTTATATATTTTATTGAATTTTACCGCTTTTTTCACAAAATATAATTATTGTGGTATATTTTAAGTTTTGATTGTCTCCAATGTGATGTAACTTCAGTGGGTTGGATTTGACTAACATGGACTATCGATTCACCTAAAAAGATAATAATCTAATTTAAATCATTATTAACCCTCAATGATTTGATTTACAATTACCCTAAAAAAAAGATTTAATTTACAAAAGATAAATATGAAGTTTATTAGATGGCCTACACTATACTCACAATCATTGGTCACAAGGTTAAAAAAAAAAACAGATCATTTTCATCTACTGTTACAAAAATTGTCAGCACAACTCATATTACCATCTATAATTAATTATATTATTACTTACCTTAGTATTTTGATTTTATCCTTTTGAAATGATTAGAGAATAATAATGTTCTAATATCGACATAATTTTTTATTTAAATGGTAAGGTGATAATGTACAATTTTAAAATGCATATTTTACTCCAACAATTACATGTTTTTTTAATGTGATGGGATTGTGACATATTTGACCTTGTGTATACCAATTAGTACATATATATAATTTTAATTAAATGATTCAACGATAATTGGCATATATCTCAAACGAGTGAACTGTGTTAGTTTTTTTAAAAAATTAAAATTTTGAAATAAAAATGAAAAAGATAAGATATGTGCATAAGTAAAAATAATTTGAAGAAGAGAAGAATTTATTTGGAGGTGGGACCTGTAATAAAGAAGTTTCTACTCAATTATTAAATGATAATGTGCCAAAGAGGTCTGACAGGTTCTGAGTATTTATTTATTCTGAACAGGCAGTACGAAATGATGTGCTTCATATGAGGCCAGGGAAATACTCTCAAGCGGTTGCCACGTGTACACACACTTTTTAATTATTTTTTTTTCTAACTATCAAAATATAATTTCCGCAATATAAGTTATGCTTTTTAAAAGAAAAAGTATCTCAACTGCAAGGTAGATAAGTTAACATTTTTTTTGTACTAAAAAAAAGTTCACATTTTTAAATGTGAAGTAGTAAATAAATAAATATATATATACACACACAATTCATTAATTCAAATAACACATTAATACTTTGCCCTTCTTAAATATGTTATGAATTTTATTAGTAATATTATATTTATATTCGTGATATTTTTATTGAAAATTTTTATATCTCGTTGGTATTTTTATGATACATTCGAAATACTAATTATTCGGTGGAAAAAAAATACATATTATCTAATATTGATGTCGAGCCTTAAATTAATGTAAATGTTCGCATGAAGGTGAATATTTTATTTGTATTCTTTATTTTTCACATAGCGAGCAATCATCTATTTCGGACTTTGTTGGTAAGATAAGAGATCTCACCATGGTTTATAATATAAGTGGATTACTCCTTTTATTATCGTTTTGAAATGGAACACCATGAATATTAATACTCACAAAAGTCCATCTTCCTTTGAAGGAAGTTGTAATTATTAAATTGAATTATCAAACCTACCTACTTTCAAATAAAATTATTTTATTGACCTTGTCTAAGTTCCTCCTACATTCCTAATATATAATCGTTGAATAATTTTGTTATAAAAAGACACCTTTAACATTTATTTCTATTGAAGGTGACATTAATATATCAACTACGATAGATAGTGGAAGATGAAATATTAACTTGAACTTTTAATTTTTGTTTTCTAAATACATAAATTATAACGCCTCATGGAACATTTTATTTACATTTATTAATGTTCAAACCTAGATCCAACATTAAACGTAGCTTTAGAAACTAATAGTATATGTATTAATTAATTATATAAATTATAGGTCCCTAATTATGTTAACTAATAATTATTAGTCAAGATAAACTTAGCTTAGCGATAATTGACACCTGCCTCTAACCAATAGGTTGTGAATTTGAATTCCTTACCTCATTTATTGTACTGAAAAAATCTAATAATTGCTGTAAATCTGTTAGATTGTTGTCGTGGATTAAAAATAGCTATTAAGAAAATCTTTTAACAAACTAATACAAATACACAAATGCTTGGGTCATATTAATAAAACTATAGTTTATATAATATAATTGATTAATGCATATACTATTATTTTCTGGAATACTTAGAAATTAAATTAGTGGCTAAACATTCTATCATAAAAATTAAGATGTTTTAAGCAAAAAGAGACAGCGGCGGGAGGTGCGTGATTGCCAGTTGTCCAAAAAGGGCCGAGTCGCCGTGAGGTGTCCGAAATATGAGGAGGGGTATTATGGTCAAGATGAGGAAAAAGCGATGGGATCCGGATCGGACGGTGTGCGTGCGATCGGGGATAACGGCTGTCACATGATCCACCTCTCGGATTAAATAACGGTACCGAGAAAATGAGAGAACGAGACACCTGCCGAAACATGCGCATCTCGAAGTCAAGTTTCTCGTGCATCGCACTTCGCCAACCGCTTCATTTACGAAAAAGCCCCTACCGCAACACTGATTCTAATTAAGGATCATGGACTTAATTTTTATTTTATCCATAAATTTAAAAAACTATCATTTTTAGTCTCCACGATTTAAAATTAGTTTCTACTCTATTATTGGTATCTCAAGTATGAATTTAGTTTTTAATTCGTCCCTAATTTTAAATTTGATTTCTAATCCGTCCCTTTTACCATTAGTTTACCTAATGACATTCTTCATTCTTTTTGTCCTAAGTAATAAAGTCTAGTTAACATATTTTAACTGTCACGTCATTATTCCGTTAAGTTAATTAATGATCGACTCAATTAGGAACCAATTAAAAATCAAAATTCAAACTTTAGAGACCAATTAAAAACTAATTCAAACTTCAAGAACAAAATATGTTACCTTTCAAACTTAAAAGAACCAGATAAAAACTAAATTTAAATGTTAGGGATGAAAGAGGGTGGTTTTTTAAACTCAAGAACAAAATAAAAACTAAGTCCAATCTTTAAGTACCAAAGATCTATGATACCCTTTTAAATATTTTTCATCAACATGTCTATGAGTTCAACATCAATATAGAAGTGAATCAATACTTTTAATATATTGTAAAATAATCGATAAAATATTAAATAAAATATTGTAGAATTATTAATCAAAATCAATATTTCTATAAATTTGAGAAGTTAGATAAAATATTTGAAAGGTTGAAAACTCCATAATAATTAAATTATTTGAAAATATTTAAACACTAAGTCAACGATAAATAAATGCCTGTAACACAATGACTATGCCCAAGTTGTGTGGTGGTTCAGTTGCATAATAATCAATATTAATGAAAATCCTCAAGTAAAATGTTAAAAGCAAGTGATTGGAGGCGAATCCAACCACCATCTTAAATCTAAGAATTCAAAAATCTAAAGTGAATCTTTCAAGCATATTAAAGATATGGGATATCATCATTTCAATTTTTGGCACATTAATGCACGCACTAATCTTTAAAATTGAGTTCAGCCTCTCCATATTAGTGACACCACTATAAGACCTACATTTCTATAAGTAGAATTTTTTATATGGTATCATGAGACATTAAGCTCCATAGATGTAATAAAAATTTGTGAAAAATAGAACTAAGGATCAGTCTCACTTAAAATTAATTTTTAAGGTATGCCGTCGGTGATGATTTTGGAAAATCAACTATTCTTAAATATATTTTTCCGATATCAGTATCAAACAAACCCTATATATACACACACACACAAGAGATAGTCTCTAAAAGAACAAAAAAAAAAAATCCATCAAATCACCATTTGGATTGGATCAGATTTAAAAAACTGATTCGCAATAAATATTTATGATATCCTAATTAAATTATAGAACACCAATAATCTACAAATATAATTCCAATTAGTATTCTCGATGCGTTTAATTTATAAATCCAAATCCAATAGAGAAACCTAAAACGCACGTTATGGTGGAAGCACCATTGGAATTGGAGATATACAAAGAAACATAAATCCCCAATCTTAACAATATTCTTCTACAAAGGAAGATTAAAGTAAGACTTGGCATCCAAAACATGTTCTATTTTCCTAATCCCCAACTTGACAGATTAATTAAACATTAAGAAATTCCATAATCAACCCCTTAAATTAACAACAACGACGTGCTATGACTCCTAAATTAACACAACAATGTGCTAAGTTTTAATAAAAGTCTAACTTCATTTAATCATGTCACACTTTGATTCCATCAGCAAATCAGGTTCTTTTTGTTACTGCCACCTATATTTAAATCAATATTTTGATAGTGTTTCTTTAAAAATGAGAGAGAGAGAATTAAATAGATGGGCGCTAGACAGATCTTTATGTGACGTCAATTTTACCTTTTTATTAAAAAAAAAAAAGATTTGAAGGCATGTTTCGAAATGTTTTTTTTCCCTCGTTCTCAATTTTTTTAGAAACGTCTGCTCGTTTTTTAAGAAATATTTTTAAAGTTACGCTGATATTCAGGAAACAACAAAATCAAGTTCTTTTTGTTTATAGTTTTTTTTTTTGGTTTTTCAAAACATAAATTTATCATTTTTTATTTATTTATAAAATACAAAATAAAAATTTTAAAACAAATAAACAATCACCCAATACAATTTTGTTTTTTTTTTAATGGAAAGAGAAAATGAGAATAAGAAATAAGAAATAATAAACATGAACTTTACTAAATAAACACCAAATTATCAAATCTCAAATTAATATTATTTCGTTACTTTGATTTAATAATAAATCGCCTCACATGCGAAAATTCACTTAATCAACAAACAATATTAACTTTTTCCAAAATCACTTCTACACTATTACCATACATCACTGCTTTAAAATAGAAATGATTTTCACAATGACAAAAGTAATTTTGATCCTATCAAAATCACTCTTAAATATACTCTAAAACATTACCTTATATATGTTTCTCAAAAACTAAAAATGAGAAAGAGACGGTAGAGGTGAAAAATATTACCATGCACTAGTTTAAACGGGTAGTATGTTTGAAGTTTTAAATAACGTTATTCATTTTTATATGCATAGTAAATAAAATTTTAACTGAAGAAATTTAAATTTTAGAGGGTGGTGTGGAAGCACGGGTAATGAAGGTCTCCGAACATAGCTCGACGAATAAAACATTAATTGCCTTATTTGTGATCGAAAAAAGTACCTCTTTTTCAAACTGGGAAATGTTCAAAATAAGGGGAGATGGTACATTTTATTTTTTTTGTAATATGTAGAAATTAGGATAACTATTAAACTCCACTTTTCCTTAATTTGAACATTTCCCAGTTAAAAAAAAAAAGGTACTTTCCACCAGGCAATTCTTGGGGAAAAAAAGGGCAAAGAAGGTAGAAGGTTGGGCCATGGAAAGCAATGATTAAAGACAAATGAATAAATAAGATGGGGTCAGAGTTGAGAGGTGAAAGACTGTAAAATTTAAGATGACTTGGAAGAAAAATAAAAATTCAATTTGTCATTTTTGTCCAATGAAGTCCCTTAAAATAGTAAAAAAGGCTACCAAGTCCCAATCTAACTGTTTAAATCTTTGTTTTGTTATTTTCCTCTTTAAATTTAAATAAGGTCAAAGATTTACATCACTAACCTTTAAAAAGATTATTCTTTATGATAGTATGTTCAATAGTTGTTTACTCAATATTTATAAAACAAACAAATTACAGGTTAGAAAAATTAAAGAACTTGCCTATAAAAAGGATAATTGACTAAAAAAGTGTGAAGAAAATGGGTAGTGAGAGAAAAAATGCATATAAAAATATAGTTAGGAAGATCGATTAAAAGAAATATGTAATATGATAAATTAGTAAAAAAGAATGTTAGGGAGAAATTAGATAGAGGATACCTTGGCAACCAAGACGAGAATATGCATCAGGAGTTGAAGATAAATCTAGAAATTGTCTGAGTAAATCAACCCTTCAAACTGTTTCCATGTAGAGAGATAAATGGATGAGAAAAAAATGCATAGATAAAGAAATTAACAACAGACAAAATGGAAAGGAAATAATTGAAAAAACATGGCCTCTTAAACTTCCCATTGCTCAATATCTGTCGCAACAATTTCAAAAACATAGCCTGCAAAACACATCATAAAAGATCACTTCCAAATCAGTTCATCAAGTGAAGTTTTTCTTTAACTGTTTAAACAGTGTTATTTTACCTATAAGGAGCATGGGGGCTTAGACCAAAATTGGTAGTTAAAGGCTGAAGGAGGCCAAATCTTATGAAACAAATGATCAACCCAGCCTTTCTTTCCACTCACTTCCTTCTGGAGCTTAGATCCATAGCCTTCGAAAGACTTGGAACCAGAAAGCTTGGTGTGAACTTCCTTCTCCTCTTGCATCAAATCAAAAAACTCTTTCCCAACAGCCTGCAGTTTGCTAATAACTTCGCTGGAAATTTCATGGTGACCATTTGGAAACATGCCCCTCTGAGCACCATTTCCTCATCTGGGTTGCTGAAAACGATCTGATGAATTTGTTCGGGATGGTCTTGGAGAGCGTTTTTGGCACCATCTCAATCCCCATTGCTGAACTGATAAAGAGAAGAACAAAATTGAAGTTAATTCGAGTACATAGTAGGTGAAAACAACTCCCATCAACAACCAAAAATTTATACAGTTATACTACTATAGTTGGTTTTCATACAATCAATATCACTCTTGAGTGTTGAGAGATTTTCGTCACAGTAGCTAAATCCAATCATGTTTCTCGACTTGCTCAGATTAACTTTCCTCGACAAAATTAAGATGGTTCTCACCTTCTCCATTATATTCACAGAGGTATTTCCACTAAGGAAACAGCTTACTGAAGGAGAATAAATTAGACCTGCCATCATAGAGAAAGCCACTATGTAGAATTCAATTCTTCTTCATTCACAAATAAGTACCTTGACAAAGTGAATAAAACCAGCTCCTATCGTCTACCTAGAAACAATTAATTAGCAGGCAATATTTCAAATAACGAGTCGGACATTCAAAAAATACACGTGAGAAAATGGAGATCCAAGTCTTCTTAGCTGCATTATCAAAGTCATCTCACTTTTTACCTCAAAGGCTGTAGTTGACATTCTAAATAGTTGCAATGTTAATCAAAATAATAAAACAATACATGCCAGCCAATTCAAATTCTAATGTCAATTCCACTGAAAACTTTTCCTCTTGAAAGTAAACAAGGACTAAAAAAACACCTTGCTAACAATGAAACCAGCGACATACTGGAGTCCGCAGCTGTTAGACAATTTCGGCAAAGAAATGCTAAATTCGGTCGCCACATGATTATATACTAATTAACAACCCAACAGGTCCGACGAATACCCTCTCAAGGTTTTTAGGGTATGGTGAGAATGATACATGTGAAGAAGCTCAATTATGACCCAAGGCCAAAGTGTCAAATATTTTATGTACTGGAAAAGCACTAGAAGTCATTACACAAGCTGTTCATGAAAACCATTAACTCGCACCCTCGAGATGTAAAATTACACATCATTTTTAGCTTTAACAGATGGAATTCCACATTACATAACTCTGATGGTTATTTATGGAAAGTGCAAAGATCATGAACAGGAAATCTATCTTGGGCCCGAGACCTGCTGTGAAGATATGTAAGAAAATAAGTAGTTTGAATCACTCATACAACTAGCGGGCGCATTTGTTGGTGGATATATTACTGAACCATTTTGGTTCATTTCCTCCTCTATTGTTGAGGCTTCTGTGAACCTACGCCCATAAAAGCGCAAGAAATTCAGCGACTCGTTTCTCGGCTGACCTAAAGGAATCCCACCTTCCAGCATGCTGACGACCGTATCCATACTTGGCCTTAGGGCAGGTTCCTCTTGAACACAACACAAAGCAATGCAAACTAATTTCTTCACCTCTTCATATGCCACACGCCCCTCTAGGCGTGGATCGGCAAGCTCCAAGTACCTTCCTTGCTCATGCATCTCCAATGCCAATAAAGGAAAATAAACCAGTCCCAATCCTGTTGAAGATGATGATTGGCAACCAGAACTATCACTGCCATCCAAGCTATGGTTATGGGATCGCGTTGTGCAATTTTTCCTCCCACTCACAACCTCCAATAGCACCATGCCATAACTATAGACATCAGTTTTTTCTGAAATTGCTGAATTAGTGAGCCATTCAGGTGCAAGATAACCGCGTGTGCCTCTCATTGTTGTAAACAGACCTGACTGTTCAGGCGCCAGAAGTTTTGAAAGACCGAAATCAGATATTTTGGCCTGAAAGGAGTCTTGTAACAAAATATTCTCTGGTTTCACATCACAATGGATGATTTTATGCTCACAACCTTTATGCAAATATGAAAGCCCACGTGCAGTTCCAAGTGCTATATCATACCTCTCTTGCCATTCTAAGACTGGTCCATTGCCAAAAAGGGTACGGTCTAATGAACCACGATTCATATACTCATAAACAAGAAGGCGCTCTCTTCCTTGCGCACAAAACCCTTTCAACTTGACCAAATTTGTATGGCGTATATTCCCAATGACTGCAATCTCAGTGCAGAATTCCTTTTTCCCTTCAACACCTAAATTTGTTATCTTCTTCACTGCCACAACAGTTTTGTCAGGCAGTATACCCTTGAAAACTGTACCAAACCCCCCTGACCCTATCTGAGCTTTAAAACTATCAGTTGCAGCCTCTAGCTCTTCCAAAGAAAACCTTCTAGGCAAACCTGGAATGAAGAAGCCATCAAATTCTGTTGAAGCACGTGAGCTGGCACTACCTAGTTTTGTTTGTAATCTTTTTGAGATTATTCGTCTCCTCCACCAAAGGAAATACAGAGTTACCAATAGGAGCAACCCAAAAATTGGCAAGAGAATAAGAGCGGCTACTGGAAAATTCTGTTTTTCTTTATCAGCGAAGCCTGGTGGAGTAGATCTAACTTGAACTTTAATATAGCCCAACAGATCGTTTTCAAATGTACTACTCTGTCCGATAGAGCCTAACCTGTCTTTGATCATGTAGCAAGAACCAGATGTGTTTCCATAGAATATGGCCAAACACGAGCATTCCCTTGAACAGAGGGCTTGACAGGACGAGGTGTTCACTCCATATCTAGATGGCTGAGAGAAATCAATTGCAAAATATCTTATACCATATCCCAAACTCAAATACGAAAAAACTGGTGACTTTAACCGATCACTACCACCAGAGGAGTTGCAAGGAGAAGCCAAAACAATGGAATTATCAATTGGTTTACAGCCCCAGCCACCCAAGCTTGGCGGAACTGTGTGAAAACTTGATGGACAAGAACAACTGGGGGAATCGGATGCACTGTCTGTATTGCAAAGTCCAACTTGACCGCAAAAGAATGGAATTCGACAATTGTCAACTGGTCCTATGAATTCTTGTGTCCAACCAGTGCTAGAAAAGCTCTTGACAATAAATTGTCCAGTTGACTCCAATTTGGCAATTCTAAAGTCAGAACGGGGTAGGATGACTTCAATTACCACAACAGAACCATTACGAGCCAACAGGTAGAGACCAGTTGCATTTATAATCATATATTCCACTGCAACGTTTGAGTTTATGAAGGCCTTTGGATCCATGGACAATTTCCAATACGTTTGTCCATACCATTGTAGCATAGCATCAGATGTAGCAACCGACAAACTGTAATTACTATTGGACAAGTCCGAACCTGAGATGGAGCTGAGCAGCATAGTACCAACAGGCAAATATTGTCCAACTACAATGGTATCAGTTGGATAACGGAAACTCTCCCAAAGAGAGACATTTGATCGATCAAGTAATACAAGGTTACCCATTTCAGTTAGCCTCAACGCAGATGCTGCTGACTGTAATTGTGGAGTTGACCATCTAAGGTTATCATTCTGATCGGTTATGGAAATTCCCTTAGTGGTAAGATTGAAATTCCCAGTACTTGATATGGGATCATTACGGTTAGCAGACCAGATGATTGTGTTGGACGCCACATGAACAACACACAAGTAGAAGCTGGTTTCTTGAGCTAGAGGGTTCACAATAGAGGCCTTGTAAGTTCTGTTGCGAGAAAACAAGAAGGCACCACCATTATCAGCAAAATTGATGTTGGAAGCCAAAAAATTTGGGTATATGAATTCGGTGTAGGATATACTGGAGACAAAAGGCAGAAAGAATAATATTTTTGGGATGAAGAATGAGGATCCCATCAAGGAAATTAGAGAACACAAACACAAGAGATTCTTCAAAATGTCTGAATGAAACTAAGTAGCATTGTTTGTCTCCGTTTCAAATTGGTTTCTGGGCCAGTTGACTTCTGAAACTCCCTCTCTATCTCTCAATAGGTAGCTAAGTCAGGCAATTATTCAGTTAATGCCTGCATCAGCTAGGGGGCAAGATTTAAAATATTCATGAAAGGTCACAAACCACGACAAACATATATTTTAATAATTGAGGTAAATTTGACCAAACTTCACGTCTCTAATAAGCTTAGGACCAGCCAACAGACACAAGACCCGAAAATTCTATGAGAGAATTATGTCATAATGCCAAAAATTCCAGCGTGCATTAACGAATACACAAACAGATTTCGGCAAGGAACATTTTCCAATTCTGGTTAAGTGTAAGCCATACGACAAACAATTGGTGAGCATAAAAAAATGTGCGCGTTTACCCGCTTCGTGATCGTGGTACCACCGCCCAAAGCCGAAAATAGAAGTATGAAGAGACCACATTCAAGTAACTCGATCCCGTGGTGCATCGAGAACTGCTTATCCTCGAAAGCAGCGATGGGTTCAAACGAATTAACTTCTGTTTCTTCACGAATGCTGAGCAGAACTTGCCTGGAAGAAAAATCGGGAACTGGAAGGAAGAAATTGGATAGATTGCGTTGGCAAATCGTGACGAGAGAGAAAACTATCGAGCTGATGATTGTTTCGGAACGAGAGTGGTGGCTGCAGGGTTCTTGGAGGAGCTTGGCGGGAGGCTCTTCAGAACTGCACTTCGAAGCGCCGATTTGATCCGTTGCAGAGGAAAACTAACGGCGTGTTTGGAAATTGTCACACTTTTCGAATATTGTTTTCTTAATTAATTTTTTGTTAAATGTTGGGTTTATTTCCAGTTGAGATCTTATTCCTAGCCTCTATATATTCATATTTTCAAAATATCAATATTGCCCTTGAGTTTTGAAGTTTGTTTTATTTTAGGTGGTGTTTTTCATGTGATATGAAAAGAAGATGGTTGAAGGTATATGCCAATTACCGTTGTACTATGCTCGCTTTGGCATATTCTGAACTTAGTTTTTCTGGCACTCTTGACAATTTTTGGACATTTCACCCTCCGACCACTCGCTCATTTTTTTGGCATGAAAGACACCACCAACTTGTTTTCTGGCACGATAGACTACCAACTCATTTTTCTGGCACGACGGACCACAAACTCGATTTTCTGGCACGAAGGATCATGAGCGAAAGCAACATCCAACAAGGATCAAGCCAAACAACATCGCACACGAACCCATCAAATCACAAACAAAACCAGCACTATCCACCTATTTATAGTATGGTAAATACAATTAAATCAAATAAGTTTAGATACCTAATCAAGAAATTGAAAACCTAAATCATATCCTAAACTATATCATACCTAATAAAAAAAACCAGTACTAAAATAATTTAAAGCATATCAAATCCTATCAAAATCAATATTAAATGCGGAGCCTCTGAATTAAATCACTAATGAATCAAATAGTTGAAGTCGATGGATTAAGGTAAATTTAACCTCTCTTAACAAATTCTTGATTGAGTAACAAAATTAGGAGCTAGAGTCTTGACAAATTTTTTTCAATCTCTGAGAAACAATTTAATAATGATTTATAAAATTTAATTAAACATACCAATAAAATTAAAATTGAACTATATAATGACAAAATTTAAACTAAACTGATACATGAACTAAAATTAAATGTTTTAAAATAACATATATTAAATTGGGTAAACACGGATCACAGAGACAACAAAATGCAATTCAATTTTAGGCTTGTCATTCCATAACATATAAGATTTTTTTTTAATACAATATGTGAGATGGTGGATCGAACTCACACCTTTTTTATTGTGGATATATACCAATTACCGTTGAACTATGATATAAGAAAGTTAACGGTGAAGCAAATGTCACTTCCAATGACATGACATTTAAACAATAATAACATCCAATAACAACTAAGCTATCATATGACTATTTAGTTTGTCATTTTTTATACAACTATTTAGTTTGTCATTAAACAAACAAAAACTCTAGTTTTGTATTATAATAGTTGTCACTTTATTACAGCAACGTGGAAACACTAATTTTTAATAATATTATTATTTAAATTAAATAGAAGAAATCAGAGATAATATAAATAATCAGATGCTATTTTTGTCAATCCCCCCATACATAAACCCATGACCCCGAGATAATGTGTCCCCAACAAATCGAAGCTTCGAATCCAATCCAACGGCCAGTAAAATACTTTGAGAACCATTGATCGGCAGCCCTCAGATGGAAGTGGGAAATGGGCCCAACACAGAGCCCATATTCCTCGTCACGGTGATCATTCCGATGCGACAAAGTCAATATCTCCACCCTAAACCATATATATATATTTATTTATTTATTTTCACCCTAAACTATATATTTGAAAGCGAAAATAACTTTAAAGCTGACGCACATACGCACAGCAACCTTTATTTTGTTATTATAAACTTTGCAACAGTCAATTTATGGTTAGCTACACTAAAATTATTTTAGAGGTATTTTATTTTTTAAAATCGAATGTCATTTTCCATCCCAATTTTTAGTCATTCTTTAAGAAATTATCTCAAACATTTATTCAATTAATATGAACATCGTCTACAGGCATACCAAGGAGTCAAGTCATTGATATATTAAGGAAACTGGGCCGCCATTTTGGGCCTTACGCAGGAGGACAAGCCCAATCTCGATGCTTGTTGGGCCGATAATGTATTACAGCAGATACGCCGTCGTTTTGTGTTGCTACTATTACAGTCATAAATCTGTGAAAATTTGTCTTATTCAGCTCGGGACGCGCCAAAATAAACCATTCTTCTTTTCTTGCTCAGGGCATCGGAGTTCGAGTGACTGAGGCGGTAACCGCCGGAGATGTCCGTTATCGGGTGGTACGGACCTCTGGTTGATCTCTCTGAAGCCGCTCTTCACGTTGGCGGTTTCGTTCAGCTCCTCGTCTTCATTCATCGATCCACTCCCGTTGAGGTTTTCTCTCTCTATATATTTATGTTTACAATCTTTCCCTCTAAACTTTTCGATCATTCTGTAGAAACAGTTAATTCTTTGGGCGTAGTACAAATTTTCCAAAGGCGGAGAGGTCATCAGGACGGACATCAAGGTAGCTGACGATACGCGGTCGTTTTTCTCTGTATCCCTCTGGCAGAAGAAAATGGCCGCCACAGCGGTTCCAGGCGATGTTGTATTGTTGCAGAGTAAGCTCCGGTAGATGATTATTAGGCAATTTATTTGACGGACGGACTGGACTTTTGCTAGTGATTAACTCCATTTTGAGTTTGATGTTATTATTTCCATGGCCTTTTATTTTATCTTTTTTTGCCTTCTTGATTCAGATGTGAAACTAAGGAAATTCGGAGATGCAGTTGAGGCCACAACTGTCCATTGCTCTTCCTTAGTATGCGTAATACACCCGTACGAAGCACTTGTCTCTGAAGGTACAATGCTCCATTACTTTGTGCCTCAGTTAGTCGTTGCTCTTAATTTTGAAATAGTTGTGCTATATGTTGTGAAATAGTTGTGAAATAGTTGCTCTTAATAAGAGATTCTGTAAGTTGTTATTCAAAGTGGAGTCTCTTTCTCTAGGGGTGTTCTTTGGTCCGGCTGTTTTGTTGTACCCGCTTGTATTTCTTTTCATTTATCTCAATGAAAGTTCAGTTTCTTATAAAAAAAAGGAAAGAAAAAAAAGAAATAGTTGTGCTATATGTAGCAGATTGCTTCAATAGCCGAATAATTGGAGTACATTTACATCTAGTGGCTCATTGAGATGATGATTTTCAGCTTAGCAGTGTATTAATAATTATTAATAGTTCCTAAATAATGTTGGAGTGCAATTGATGGCTGACTTTGATTAGGGATTAGTTAAATGATAGTTCAACCCACTGTGTATAAATACTGTAATTGTTAGCTTATTTCTCTAGTGAAATTGGTATAGCTTCTATCGGATATATAAAGCTTTCTTTTTGGAGTTTTTGTTAATTGACTGTTATTTGCATAGATTAGGGAAGTGAAGTCTAAGATACAATCTTTGTTTGTATAGATGCAGATGATTTACTGGCCAATTGTCGAGCTGGTTTAGTGGCAAAAGAAAAGCTGAGGAAGGTAGTAGAATGGGTGAAGGGTGCTGGATCTACCTTCTGCAACATAAAATGGAATAATAACCAAGTATGTTCTTCTTAACCCACCAATATATTTGTTGTTATTTTAATATTCATATAGTTTCTCCATTCTAGGTGACCTGTGTGTCATATTGAGCATTGAAGCATGACATGTAACTATTTATATTTCGTGTGGCAGATTTAATTTGTTAAAGCTAGCCCGTGTCTTAATTAAACATTTTTACGATGTGACATTATCATTCTCTTGAGGGCTGGAAAAGGAAAATTGTGATTGATCCTGCTTCTTTTCTGATTCCTTAATTCAGTTGTTTTCATGGTTTTTAATAATCAATTGTTTCTTGGATGCCGTGTGCATATGCAGATGTTCTATTGATTTTCTCGTCTATATGATATCTTAGAGGCTGTAGTCGGCTTCTCATTCCTACTTATGATTATCTAATTTGCTGCTCATGGATTCATCTTCATTTTGTAAGGTTAATTTAGATTATGAATTCATTTCTAAGAACACAAAAAGAAACCTCCCTCCATAGGGTGGAGGCGTGAAAAAAAATAGAGGTGGAAATTTTCCAATTTGTTATTTTTTTGGAATGAAATTACAGCTTGAATCACCTTATTAAATTGTTGTAGTTTTGTAAATATGATGTGATTACTCTCATCCCAAAACACATTTTTCACATTCAACTTGAATACATTTGTTTGACCATAAGTGAAGATCTGAACATGTAATCTTGTACCATTGGCTATGAGGTTTTCCCCCTTATTAATTGATAATAGTTTTATTATAAATTCTCACATATAACATTACGTGTAAATGTTGATTATTATGAAGCGTATCAATGTATTAGATTAGAACTGGTTGAATGAACAATCTGTTGGATCTGAAATTTCTACATGAAACTCATATTCATCATTATCTGATTACCTGAGCCAATATCAGACCGCACTACTAAATCTTTTGATGTATCCTTGTTTTGGACAACCTGGTCAGAGAAATAACCATTTCTTCCGGAACTGGAAATTGCCTGAAAAGAGGATGTCCAAAGACTGTTTTTCGCTCTCTGAAGTATCATATCTAACTGAATCATGCAAAGCCATATTTGATGCATCAATTGGTGAAATCTTTTTGTTATCTCCCCGGATGGATCTCGATGAACCTCGAAAAGAAAAGATGTTTGTCAGCAGGCGGTTGGACAATTATGAAGATACGTTTCTGGCAGAAGATCTCATTTGCACTGGTTGTCAGATATGTGGTTGCCCTTTGGGTCTGGAAAGTGGGTACGAAAAATATCCAGCATTTTATATTATTTCATTGGCAACAATTATAATTATGATTTCTGAACACTACTTGCTTTTCATTGCCTTCAGGCCCGTGGTTGATCAGAATTCTGTTCCACTTTATTGCCCAAAAAGCTTGAATCGCCTTCATGTAGTAAGCATGATATATAAGCCTTTCATGGTATGGATGACTATTCTTGCACTTTCTTCATGTTCCAGACTCTATTTTACCTTTTTATATTAGTTGCATCACCATGAATCGGAAATATCGTAAATATAGTTATAACAAAGCATTAAATGATCAAGTATTTAGTTCTTGGTAGTCTTGCTTGTCTTTGAACTCTCCGAAATTAATTCTATAACAAAACAGCTCCTTTACAAACCATGAGTGCTGCCTTCTTTTTGATCGCTTTGCAAGCATGTTATGTGCTTGTTTCAATGCGTAGAAACCTATAAACTGCGTTCTAAATCTATTATGTTCTACTGCAGTTGTATGTGTGGGATGAATCAGAATGCATTCCTCTTCTTGTTAAGAACCAAGCTGCAGAAATCTTGTTTGGTAACATTAAAGCTGAAAAAGTCTACTCGTATTACAGTGAGCAAAAATCCAACCCCAAACCTAATTCAGAAGCTGTTACCGAAGCAAAGCACTCCAGTGCTTCGGTTGCTAATTCCCAGCGAGCTATCAGGAAAGGAGAGAGGCCCTCCAGAAATATTTATTTCATATGGTTGATCTTTCTGAAAATGTTGTTGCAGCAAGGAAAAAATAGCCCCCTTAAATTTGAAATTACGGTAAATACCAGTGTGGACAAAGAGAGTGGGAGATTTGAGATGGTTTCGTCGTCATTCCCATGTTTCTTAACCAATCGATCCTTGGACCGAGCACATTCTATATGCGATTAGAAGAAGGAAATTGTGAATAAACATCTGAAATTCCTGAAGCAGATGGAGGTTGAACATTTATTTTGTCTATTAGAAAACTGTTCAAGTGCCGAAGATGAAAGCGAGCTTTTAATGTACGATTAGTTATTGACACAGGGAACTTCTTCTCTACGTGGAGGGAACGGCGAAGCCAAAGTCTCGAAGTCCTTTATAAAAACTTAATGCTAAGTATAATTTTATTGCAAAACAACAGAGTCAAGACAGTTCCTTATGTGAATTCATATCTCATGCAATCTCATCGTGTCTTGGAAAGAAGGCTTAACAAATCAGCCAAGGGCCATGCCACAGAGGTATTAATCTAACAACACAGTTCAAGAATGGGATTCGGAATCGGCAACAGAAGCATCGGCTGCAGAGTTTTGAGCTTCTAACAGCTTCATTTGACGCTCAGCATGTTCTCTTTCACAGGCACTAATTCCCATTATAATATCAAGCATTGTACCAGTTGTGCCAAAAAACACAAGGGGTGCCAGAGACTTTCTCTTTATTCCCACTGGAATTGCTAGCAACGCCCCTGCTACTGAGAATACCCAGGTGCCCAACGCACTGTAAATGTACAATGATCAATAAAATCTCGAGAAAATTTCCAGTTACAAGAACAAAAAACAAATGAAACAGTATGCTCCTTGCTCCTATGAGCGGAAGGATGCAATGAAATATTACCATGGCGAAAAAATCTAGTTTAGATTACAAAATGTAAGACTTAATAAGACTCTGCCTGACGTCTTAAATAAGAAAAACTACCACCTGATATTTACCAGAGTTTAGGCAGTCAACATTACATTTTGTACAAAGTTTCTACTTCCATTAGATCCAGGAAACAAGCAATGGAATTCAAGGATAAATAAGGTAAAAGGAAGTCCCTGGGGTTCTTATGCAAAATAACTCAACTTTTTTGAGAAGTAATTTGATATATGCAGAACAAGATGGTTTTCTTTTTAGAATGGGAAGTCGGAGCTTTTGCTCCCCTATGTCCAGGGACAACCACGCCTGCTCAAGGTCCAAGACTAGGAGGCATAAGGTGTTTTTGGTATTAAGTTCACCAGAAAATTCGAACTTGGAACTTCTAAACTAATATACAATTGGACAAGTCGACAAGGGACGATTCCAGAGGAATGTATATCATTATTTAAGTACAAACTCCGGTTTTCAATAATTTAGGAAGGAGAAAAGGCATCAGAGAGAGGAAGAGCGACGATAACAGAATAGAAGAAAAGGGAAGGTGAAAGAGAAATGGTGGGGGGAGAGAGCTTACTTTGAAACCGAGCACTCTTCAAGATGTTTAACATTTTCATGGCTTCCCATATCTCTCTCTCGATTAACGAACTCGATGAATAGTGAGAAACAGCAGCAATATTCAACTCCAATAGTTGCTGAGAGAGAGTGAGGAGGAGTTAGCGTAAAACATAAAGATATTCAACAATGCAATCTAGAACTGAATTCAGATCTGAATGTCAAAAGCAAAGCATACAAATTTCATAATTAGAACTCTTGAGAAGTACATGGAATTCACCAATGGTGCAGGTACAGTAAAACACAACTTATTTTATCTCTTTCCATAAAAATTAGACAGAAATCAACTCAGAATTAAGAGTGAATGCTAAAACCCTACCATAAATCTACATTTCTGTTTGCAATTGCATACGTTCCTTAACTCGCATCGCCTTAATTGCCATCAATAACAGAACGAGCAAGTTTCAATGATCAAATTTGACAAGTAATTAGAACTATCGTCGCAATGCGAGCTAATCACTCTCTTATTGAGAGCAAGAACATAGTCAAGTGATCGAAGAAATCAGGTGGAACGAACATATTCAGATGAAAAGAACAATCTGCGCTGACATAGAGAGAATGAATGAGAAGATGGATTAATAAACAGAAAATTTCGCGCACCTGAACAGTGATAACGGTGGGAACGAGGCTTCACCGGCGAGGAACCTGCAGAGTCGCGATCTCCGACTGTGGATTTTATGGTTCCGGTCGAAATCCTGAGCCCTAGAATCAGTTATGCAGGAGGAGGACAAAAAATGACCTGTTCACGCATCAGTTGAGACTTGTTGAAGCCCATATGCGGGAGAAGAGAAGGGTTCCCCTTTTTTTTTCCTTCGAAAAATAAAATGGTTTTAGATTTTTTTTTTTTCAAATTTCTCAACAATTTAAAAATATTTTAGAAACTAACTACCTAACCAAAAAAAAAAAGAAAAAAAAAAGAAGAAGAAGAATAATACCCAATGTCCCGATTTGACAGGTAGAGATAAACCATAAATGTAGAGAGGACGGGAATGAGCACCACTCTTGTGGGTGAGCTTATCGAAAAAGTTTATGCTCACGAGGTGAGGTTATGTGGAAATAACATGACTGTTATAAATGAGCTAACTCAAATTTACGAGGTCTTTTTTAGAGAGAATGAACAAAATTGTTATCATGAACCGATTAGAAGAGCCAAATAAAGTCGTACCTTAACTCGGCCGAATCATTAAGACAACCCTAATGAGGTGGGTTTCACCAGTATACAACATTCTTTTTTGTGGGTACATTTCAACTCATTCTCTCAAACCTATTTATTGGACGAGTTGTTTAGCTTGCTTCTCTCAACTTATCCAAATTACTGCAAAAGTTTTTTTTTTTTTTGGCAAATGTTAAAGGCCGCACCAACCTATGTAGATTTCAACGTTCAATCCTCATAAGGGAAGAGTTGAAGATCCCAACATTACCTAGTAAAAAATACAATAGTTTCTCCAATAATCCAACTTGATTTACTAGACGGTCATAACTGCTCTCCAAATGAGGTTAGAAACGACCAAGTTATATAAATAGAGGTTTCCACCTCACTTCAGAACTATCTAGTATTGATTGAATTTGAACTAAGCCAGTCTCTATACAATCATCAGGCAATCAATTTTTTAATCAAACAGAGCCATCTGAACCCGTCCCCATTTTTTGATTTATTATTATTGTTATTGTTATTGTTATTGTTATTATTTTTTGACACAGAACCCATCTCCAATTAAATAAGAAAAGAAAAGAAAAATGGCGAATTCATGAGAATCAAACAAAACAAAGCATGTACCACACAAGTGTGGCCAAATCAGAGGACTCCCATTTTCTTGCCGAGGAATTGACGCAGCCCTGACGAGGTTTTCAATTCAAGCTCAACAACAGTGGCGACCATAAGGAAATTAGGCAAATCAAAGTAACATTCCCCCACATTTCTTCACTTTTTCTCTTTTATGCAGCTTAAATGAGAAATTTTATTCCAATTTGCAGAATTTCTGATGCAGATCCACTGCACCTGGACGCTTCAGCGCGTTCAATTGCGGTCTTCCCCGTTGTTTCGGTGTATTAATATAAACCCTCGAAGAAGTTCCTCCCCCTCATCCATTCTGGCCACCATGTCCTCCGCCGTGTCGACTGAAAAGACCGCCGTCTTCGATCAGAATGGACCCACCCACGACTCGCAGAAGCCATTGCAGGTAAACCCTAGCTTACCTCTCTCATCTCTTATTCCGTTTCATTTTCTGGATTTCTATCGCGTGGCTGAGTTTGATTCAGATCATTTGGGGTTTGCTTTTCCATCGTCTGCGGATTTTCCTTTTTTCATCTCACAAAATTTAATCCTATTGCTTACGCATGTGTTTGATTAAATTAATCTATTATTCTTTGGGTATAGCTTAGATTTTCGATTCTATTTCCATTTCTCCTGCCCCCTTGTGCTAAACAATCCCGTTTAAAGCTTATCGAGAGGCACAGTTACGGAACCTTTTCATCAATTTACTGTGATTATCTTAACGGGAGCATTTTGTACAAATTGAGGAGTTGTGATCATGTTCGTAGTTGTCGAGCTAGCTTGGAAATGGATTTCGGGATAGAGAGGAAGAACTGGATTATGCTTGATTGCAGCCTCGTAATCTAATTTCTGGGTGTGTTTTGGAAATAGATTTGTTTCTGGTTAATGGAGTCCACAGAGGTTTTGTTTTGTAGCTTGTGCTTGCTGAATTAATCTATTTATCCTTCAAATTCCTTTTTTCTCTAAATAATTTGTTAGAAAACCTCCAAACTTTTCATTAACTCTTTTATATATATAAAAAATTATCTACATTTCTTTATGGTGCGCCTCTTGCTTTAAAAAACACTGGATGGGAGGAGAAGAAGGTAGTAATTATTCAGTGGGTTTAGGCTTGAAATTTATGGTATACGTTTATCTTTTATCCTTCAGTACTATTTTAGTTATCAATACCAATCTTCTCTTAGGATATGATGCTCTTTTAGTATTAATTGCTTCTTATTTTTTCATCGATGTCAAGAGTGAATATCAACGATGATTAGCTTTGTTTTGGAATGCTTGGATACTCTTATGGTTTAATGCCTAGAATTAGGTTTTAGATTCTTCACTGGCTGAATAAGTTCTAAAATGTATATAAAATTACTGGAATCGATATTTTTATTTCAAAATTAAGGAAGACATTAATGAATGGAAGGATAAATTTTCCATCAGAACTTCAAAAGTAGGTTAAATTTCAATGCTAGCCTTATCGATGTTGCTTTCGAAATAACCGGTTTGTTTGTAGGTTGCAAATCGCCTGGAGAAGTTCAAGACAACCATCTTCACTAGAATGAGTAATCTTGCAATTCAATATGGGGGAATAAACCTTGGCCAAGGCTTCCCGAACTTTGACGGTCCTGAATTTGTAAAGGAAGCAGCAATTCAAGCCATCAAGGATGGGAAAAATCAATACGCCCGTGGATATGGAGTGCCAGATCTGAACTTGGCCATTGCCGAGAGATTCAAGAAAGATGCTGGACTTGTGGTCGACCCTGAAAAGGAAGTTACGGTGACCTCCGGGTGTACGGAAGCCATTGCTGCAACCATGCTTGGTTTGATAAATCCCGGCGATGAGGTGATCCTCTTTGCTCCTTTTTATGATTCTTATGAAGCCACTCTATCAATGGCTGGTGCCAAAGTCAAATGCATCACGTTACGCCCTCCGGATTTTGCTCTCCCTATAAATGAGCTCAGGTCTGCAATCTCAAAGGATACCCGGGCTGTTCTTATTAACACGCCGCACAACCCGACAGGAAAAATGTTCACAAGGGAGGAACTGAATGAGATTGCCTCTCTCTGCATTGAGAATGATGTGTTAGTTTTTGCTGATGAAGTTTATGACAAACTGTCCTTTGAAATGGACCACATTTCCATAGCCTCTCTTCCAGGAATGTACGAGCGTACTGTTACCATGAATTCTCTGGGAAAAACATTCTCCCTGACTGGTTGGAAGATCGGGTGGGCAATTGCCCCGCCTCATCTGACATGGGGAGTGCGACAGGCACACGCTTTCCTTACGTTTGCTACTTCCACTCCGATGCAGTCCGCTGCTGCTACAGCTCTCCGAGCACCCGAATCTTACTACGAGGAGCTGAAGAAAGATTACCTGGCAAAGAAAGCCATTTTGGTCGAAGGACTAAAGGCAGTTGGTTTCAAGGTCTTTCCATCAAGAGGAACCTACTTTATCATTGTTGACCACACCCCTTTCGGGTTGAAAAACGACGTCGATTTCTGCGAGTTTCTAATCAAAGAAGTGGGAGTCGTAGCTATTCCAACCAGCGTGTTCTACCTAAACCCAGAAGATGGAAAAAACCTAGTTAGATTTACATTCTGCAAAGACGAGAACACCCTCAGGGCCGCAGTCGAGAGGATGAAGAAGAAACTCATTAGAAAGTCGTGATCGCCGAGCCTAGTTTCGTCAAAGAAAAAATTTTATTCCACATGGAGTGTTTCACATCTGAGTGGTATAAGGTTAGCTCTTTCTCCTCGTACTTGGGAGTTCAACTTTTCCCATCAATGAATTAATAAATCTAGTTGAATAATCATTTATAGTTGCTTTGTTTGCTTGAAGCTTGATAAAAAATGAGCAATTGTCCTGTTCAATATAGCTGCATTGGATTGGGTGGTCAATTTTGTTAAGAACTTGGGGCAAAATGCAGGTACTTCATCTCCAATTTCGCTCGAGTACCGGGGCGTAAGCGGGTTGGTTTGAGTTGGTATATACAAACTAATCGACCAACAAATATAGTTCAAATTGATCAAATCGACACCGTTAAACTAGTCTAGACTTGCATTCCTAATAGACTATCAAATAATTGATCTTTCCATCTCTATTCAGTTATCTCTTTTAGGTGGGAGAAAGATTGGTTACGTTTTCACTTTATTTCCTTTCCTCTTCTACAACTCCATATCTTCTATTTATTTTTTTTTAATTTTTTTTGGCTTGTTGCAATTTTCGATTAAAAATGTCAATTCTTATTTTTTTTCTTATTAAAGTATGAAAAATCAAATTGAATTCAAACAAATTTGTTAGAGCAAGATGCAAAGTAAAACGTAAAAATTAGTAACTTATCAATTCATAAAATTACCAAGTCTCATTAAAACCAACTGTAATTTTCAATTAATGAATTATAAATTATTAGTTAACTAACCTATATTATTGTAAAATTATTACCAATAGCCGGTAGGTCCGGTACACATTTTAAAACTAAATTTTTATTATTTTCAACCATCACTTCACCTTATCATTAAATCAATATTGGGTATCGTAAAATTGATATTAAACGAGAATTTCAAACAGGAGCATAATTACTAATTTTTTAATTTGTTGTGCTAAAAAAGATCACTCTAAAACTTTTCAAAATTGTTTATGGAATATTTATTCATCATTAAGATTAATATAGGGAAAGAAAAATATCAATAAAGAATTGGAAGACCATAATCTTTTAAAGAAAAAATAAATTTTCTTAAAAATAAAAAAGAGTGACCCTACGTTCACGCTTCTCGATAATCTCTCTTTTTACCAATTGCTTCCTCTCTCTCAACCATCCTCTTCCGTGTGACACAGACTTTTCACCCAAATTATTTTTTTTTATTACTATTTATGCATTGAAAATAAATTCCTAATCCTAATTTTATTTCCTAATTCATTTTTTAACTGTTTCGTTTTTACACAAGTATATATTTGATATATTTTTGTTCAACTACGAATTCTCATGCAATTTAAGAGGTTCAAATTTTATTTGAACTGAATAAGTGTGTGTATTCATAAAATTATAGGTTGGTGAAAAATATTGTTGAATTTTAAAATTTAATGTTTCAATTTTTCCTATTATTTATCCACCCAATATATATCTTAGTTAACATGTTAATTCACATATTTGAAGTTAGGTTAATCACCTATTAAATAAAACAAATAATTATTGATAAAATAATTGCATCTATTAAAAAAATTAGTCCGGGACTTTAAATAGATATTTTGAAAATTCATAGACAAACATGAACAAAACTTAAAAGTTTATGAATTATAATTAACATTTTGAAAGTCCAAACGAAAATAAGATAGTTTGAAAGTTTAGAGACCAAAATGAAATTTAAACATATAAATTTAAGTCTCATTTTCCAACAATTTTATTTTTAGCTTTTGAAAATGAAGCTTGTAAACATTAACTGGACACCTTTGTTTCTCTATTTTGTTATATACTTCTCAAAATATTTTCAAAATAAAATTTTAAAACTTACAAATATAATTTTTAAAAATTTTTATACTTATTTTTTAAAGTGGACTAAGAATTCACAAATACTTTCACATTAACATGAGAGAACAAGTATAACTTAAAAATAAGACTCCCAAAAAACGAAATGATAATAATAAAAACTAAAGTAAATTTTTAATGTAAAATCTAGGGTCGAAAACAAAACAAGTAAAATATTAGAGACTTTTTTTTTATATAGTAAAAAGGGAATTAATAATTTAAACAATTAAACATATATTGAAAATCCCTCCATCAAAATGACATTAAACATATTTATTCGGATTAAATGTGTATGAATGGACCGATTCAACAAACGAAGATCCAACGGATAAATCCACCCAACTATTGTTGCAGCACTGGTCCCCATCGTCCGATTCAATCGTGATTTCAAATTTAACGGTGATTAGACCACGACGTAACTTATTCAAAACGACGTCACCAGCATCCGAATTATTATTCTTACCTTATTTGTCAAACTCAACGACATGTCGCCCGGCGGGAATACGCTCCGGACCCGAATCTTAATCCGACGACCGTAAGCGTCCCGGAGACACCGATCTCACCGTCAAACCAATCAACGGTCCAGATCAAACGTCATCCCTCGCTGGGCCCCACCTCAGGATTCTCACTATAAATATATAAGCTGGTCCATCGTTGCCGATTCGCACCATTTTTTTTTATATTTGTTTTCAATCGAGAGAAATTGAAACGAACGCTCTGTTTTCTTTCGGATTTTTGCTAAAGTGCGCGCTCTCATACTGCTTATCCTGCGCCGGCCGTGGAATGTTGCCGGCGGCGGCCATAGATTCTTCTCTCGTAAGAATTTCGAGGTATGGGAGTAGTTTTTGAAGAAGAAAGGTGAGTAGAAGATACGGATTCGGCTTGAATCGGACTCGTAATGGATGGCCAGAAAAGTCAGTTGAAGCTGAAGCTTACGCGAACTCAGTCGTCGCTGCTCCGTTCTTCGCCCACTTTCCGATCGTCTGTTCATAGCTTAACGTCCGTCACCGAGGGGGACCTTGTCGCCGGCCACAAAGAGGATGACGATGAGGAGAAGCAGAAGCCTAAGAAGCCCCGGAGGTCCGGTTCGTCACCGAGAACCGGATTGAACCGATTTGCGAATCGCGTTCTTGCTGCGGCTTTGCTTGCGTGCTTTACCTTCTTCTCGCTGCTGTTCGCGTCTTTCTTTCTTAGAAAGGATGGGCTACTCCCCTCGGAAAACCTATTATTAGCTCTGATTTTCGTTGCTATTACGCTTCTATTTGCGAGCAAGAATAAGGGCTTAATTTTACACATTCTTTCGTCTATCAAGCATGCCTGGCACGAGAATGCGAAGAGATTCTGTTTCTCCAGGACCGATTCCACTCCGATCCAGTGGTACATTGGGGATTCGGACGGAACTGCAGACGCCGAAAAGGAGAGGAAAATCATCAGAGAGGGCGTAGAGTTCTATAGCAATGGCGATTTCTACGAGGGAGAGTTCCACAATGGGAGTTGCAACGGTAGTGGGGTTTACAACTACTTTCTAAGTGGTAGGTACGAAGGAGATTGGGTGGATGGGAGGTATGATGGCTATGGGGTTGAGAGCTGGGCGAAGGGGAGTCGATACAGGGGCCAGTATCGACAGGGTCTGAGACATGGCTTTGGAGTGTACAAGTTGTTCACGGGGGACACCTATGCCGGCGAGTGGTGTAATGGGCAAAGCCATGGCGTTGGGGTACAGACTTGCGCTGATGGTAGCTGCTATGTTGGCGAATTCAAGCGTGGCGTCAAGCATGGTCTTGGATGTTACTATTTCAGGTAACTTTTGCAATTAAAATTAAGGCGTTTCTTACTTGTTTCTTCTTGCTTTTTAGCGCCATGCGGTTTCTGTGAAGCTCCTGTGCTTGAATTTCCGTCGGATTACTCTTTCTGATTTATGATTGCTCATGGTTATTGAATTAATACAACAATGAAATATTTGAACCCAGAACTTTCGATGTATGATGTCTTAGGCGCAATGTCTAAGTTCAATTTGGCTGTCTTTTTGGTTGGAATCTGGTTGATATTATTGGGATAAAACATCTGTTTATAAACGTAATCTTACTAGACTTGGTAACTGTGGTCATCTGGTTCCAGGCCGTTTCTCAATTTGTTTTAGTTTTATGAACATCTGGGTTCTGAAACGATTTGGTTATTACTTATTCCTTGAAACAAAGAAATGTGTTTTCAAATTTACCAAAGAGCTAGAATGTGTAATATAATTTGTGAGCTCAGTTTGACTTCAAGCTGCAATATGGGCAGCTACTTGATGACCCATTTCAATTAATTATCATGTTCTTTACGTACCTAGCATTGAAACTAGCTGGCCAGTTTTACGTAGGGTTACATAAAACTTAACTAGAATCCCAAAATGCATTTCCTTGTGCTGTAGAAATGGAGATAAATATGCTGGAGAGTACTTTGGGGACAAAATACATGGTTTCGGAGCATATCATTTCGCGAATGGCCATTGTTACGAAGGATCCTGGCACGAAGGTCAAAGGCAAGGGTATGGCATGTATACTTTCAGAAACAGCGAAGCCAAATGCGGCGAATGGGATGCTGGCAACCTCAAACATCCTCTCCTGCCGCTAACCGATGCCATTGTCCAAGCCGTTCAGGTACTACCTACTTTCTTCTTGTACTTCATAATCCATCCACTGATGACTGACCTATCAATTACTGTATGAATTGAAGTCATTCTGTTCCTGTTTGTACCAAATGCAGGCATCTAGAAAGACAGCAAATAACGCCATCAACCTTCCCCGGGTGGATGAACAAGTGAACAAGGCCATCTTGGCTGCTAACAGAGCGGCTACAGCGGGCAGAGTCGCCGCCATCAAAGCCGTGCAAAATCGAATGGATGGTAAATTTTGCGACATAGATGTTATGTAATCATCTTTGCTTGTTTCTAATTTTATAAGGCAGGCAAAAAACAAAAAGCCCTGGTCTGCAAAAGCTCACCGGAGGTGTTTTTGAAGTTTCCATCATCAAGCTGCAACTTGTACATACCATGTAATTGTATATTAATGAAATGGAACACTTCTCTCTAGACATACAACTTTATTTAATTCTTCAAGTTCTCTTCTTGCTCCCTTTTATTTATTGAACTAACTAATCAATCTCAACTCCAAGAATTGTCTCAATAAATAAGCATATATTTCCCATCTCTTATTACAGATTATCTTATTTATTTCATTTCAATGATTCTAAGGTTCCAAATTCAAAACCAAAAACCATTTAACCATTATTTTTTTGGGTAGGTGGACGCAAAAAGGGGAGAGCTTCAACCTTTTGACTTTGAAAAATATTTCCAAACTTCAACCATATAATTTAATTTCAACTACCATTTCTTTGGAACATGTAAAATATCTGGATGCTGTTGGTTCACCAATAAGTAAGGCTTACTATTCACCTTCTCATATCCCACAATATAATGATTTAGTTAACTTTTTTTTAATTAATTATGGGGGACAAAAGGGGAAGAAATTGGGATATTTTATGATGCCAATAGAAAGAAGGCATGTGCCATGATTCTGCCCACAGGGAGATAATGGTCATAATTTTTACACATTGCGTTAGCACATGGCTCCATCATGTGGACTATTTCTTTTTCTTCCCATAAAACTCCCTCTCTTTCCTCTTCAAACCCATCATTCATGACTAAACTTTCCTTTTTCTTCTTCTCTTTTACCTTTAATTGACTTTTTAATCTTCTTATTTTACTTTCCAACTGCTTTTTGCTTACTATTCTCATTAGTTTAATTAAACCTCTCGAATCAATTTCCAAACAGAAAAGGTTGGAACTTTCTATAAAAAACAATAGTTTAAAACTCGGGTATGTTTGGCGGGTAAATTTACTTTTGTACTTTTTAGCTTTACAAAGTACATAAGTTTAAGCTACTGTACATACGCTTTTGAAATGTATCTGTAAATTTTATGAACTCGCAAACTACAAGTTTTAATTTCTATACCATATTGTTCTGCCTAATCCAAATGAGGGGCCTCACAAATTCTAAAGTTTCCAACTTTTCAAACTACACAAGTTGAATAAGATGAAGAGCCAAGAAAAAGAAGAAAAGAAAGAAGAGAAATCCAAAACTTGTTAAAAAGAGAAGGGTTAGAAATTGGATTTTAGTGGGAATTGAGATGGGGCTGAACACTCTGTCTCTGACACACAGCATATACATGGAGGAAGACAGGTATTGTTTGTAAGAGAGTGAGAAGTTTTTGTTTTTGCATTATTATGCTTTGTCTCTTTTGCAATGTCTTCTAGTTATTTATTTCCATTTTTCTTTCTATTCTATAATATTGTATTGGGTTGTTCTTCTTTTCCAATTATGTGTTTAATTTATTCCTTGGATGAAATCATAATTTGAATTTAACTCTAATACAAATGATTTACAGCATGATTTGAACATATTTTCAAAGTTTTGAAGTCAAGAGACATGTTTTCACCACCTTTTAAGTTATTCCATGGTGAGAATTGAGAGCACATTTAATAGTAAGGTAAGTAGTTGGTTAAGAGATATAGTTTAAATTCTAATCTTAAACATCTATAAAACGTAATATTTTAAATATAATTTTTCTTTTTAGTAAAATAAATGTGGAGATGGAGATTTGAAATCCAATCCCGAAAAAAGGTAGGATGTATAAGGATGAGCTATGCTGAGGTTAGGCTACAAATAAAAAATTAAAAAAAGATAAAAACATGAAACATGTTTTCACTACATTTTTCCCACGTAAAACATAAAACAATTTTGGTTAAATTATAATTTAGTCCCTGGAGAATTCTTAAAATGTCTAATATTTCTTAGACTTTCAATGTCGTGTCTAATTAGATTTTTTAACTTTAAAAAGTGTCTTTTAATTTTTTAGACCTTACCAACAATTTTTAAAAACAATTTTCAAACGTTCTCGTAACTTTTTGACCCTAAAGGGAAGATAATCGTGGTTAGGACGTAAAGACTTTTGTTGTATGCATTTGAACCTTTACAATATGGTTAAGGTTTTGGTTAGAAATCCCAAATATTTAAATTAAAGAGGATTAAGTGCAAGGTATTGCATATATCACTGTTACCCACCAAACAAAAAGAAGTAACTTTTCAAGTGCAATTTAAGAGCTATATATCTATCACACACATTTCCATCATTGAAACCTAAAAAGAAAACCTTTTTCATATAAACCATTTAGTGGCAATGTATATAAATTGAAAAAAAAAAAAAAAAACCCACATTTCTTTGTCACTTTCTCTTCTTATGCACTCCAATAAGGCTCAATAATGCAGCCATTTTCTTTCACTCAAGCTCCATTTTTGTTCATGAATGAAGAAAAAGGGTAGAATTGGCAAAGTGGTGAGTGAAAGGTTCTTTAATATTTGGGGGTTTATATGTATTATTATATTTTTACCCTTTTAATTCCTTTTCTGATGACAAGAGAAAATAGTAACACAGGTGGAATTTGAAAGAAACTTGGGTCTGTATTTAAAAGGGCAATGTGCCAACTTCACTGTCTTTAACTTTTGGATTACTGCACTTGTCTACTTTCTACCACCTTCTTTTAACCTTTATTTTTTTTTCCTTGTCTTTTCTGGCGCTGCCATATTAATGTTGGAATCATTGTATATATTAAACTATGGGGGAGAAAATGATGTATGGAATATATTTTTATTAATGTTATATTATAAATAAAGTAAATAAGTCGAGAGGATCTTACTCATTCTTTTTAATTTGAAGGTTCAAATCATCGTCCTAATTTTATTTTTAAAATATTTATGTTCGCACATAAAAATTGAAATGAGCATAAAATAATTTATCGTAATTAATGGTGATTTTTTTAATAAAAGTTGTTTACGATATTAGCTTAAGTGTAATACTTATTTCTTCTCTTTCAAATCGTGTGCCTTAAATAGGTTGAATATAGATGTAACGTGACTCAAAAATTTTTATTTTTTTTTTAGTTTTTTTAGTACAACATGTGGGGATGGGAGTTCGAATCCACTGTCTTTTTATCAAGAATATATATCTTAATAAATTGAATTCAGATTGGTAAATATTCTTGAAGTTTGAGAAATTACTTAAATTTTGGAATTAAGATTGTTTCGTTTTTCATATTTATTTTCTTTATTATTCCTAATTACATATTGAAAATGCCACTTAATAAATAACGATGAATAATTCATTTTATTTTATTATCAAATGTACGAGGGTGTGCAGTTAAGAATTCTCACACACACATGTGAAAAACTAATTATAAATGTCTCCACATTTTACATAAAAAAAAATAAATTAAAAGTCCTAAATTCAAGTTCCCATCTTTGAAAAAGGAAAAGAAAAAGAATGGGCTGCGAAGAAAAATGAAGATGAAAATGGAAGGGTTCTTCCTCCTTTAATTCAATTAAATGATGAATTAGACTTATATTTTGACTCTAAGCCGACCATTGAGAAGCTTCAAAGTGCATTCATGAGGATCCATTTATGTCATATTTTGATTTTTCAAAGAACTTCCTGACTCGTTTTTTCTTTGTCAGCTCAACTAGTAAAGACCGACATTTTAATGAAGTAGTATATCACTTCGCAATGGATCAAGATAGAGGCTCTTAAAAATTAAGATTTAATATTCAAGTGAATGGACTGTATATCTTAATTGAATCTTACCTCTTAAATAAGTATTTGTTGCTTAGTTTACTCGGTCAAATATGTCATACTAACTTCTATACTGTGACGTTTGGGGAACGTATCTTTAACCAAATCACACTAAGAGAAAGCAAAATGTCAAATTAGTGGGGTGCAAATAATTGGAAGATGATGAACGCAAGGGAAGATGTAGGTGAACCACCAAATGTCATTAGATTTGATTTTGGTCTTCATCATCATGTGAGGATTAGGTAAAGAAAACCCAATCCTCTGCCTAAATCCCACGTCAATAACCCTCCCTCTCTTTTTTTCAGTTTAACATATGAAAGTCGGGAAATTTCGAATTTGAATTTTCGTTTTTTTATGTCCATGCATGAGTGAAGCGAAGAGACGAAACATTGATAGACACAAAAGACTTTTTTATCAGTGATATATATCAAGCAATTTTGATGTCTCCCTACACCTCTTTAAAGTACAAAAGTTGTAAATTAAAAAAAAACAGTATAAGGAAAATTAAGTCGCGTATTTATCAAAATAAATAAATACGTCACGTAATACTGTTTGAAACATATATGAAGGTATTGGGCCTTAGATATTTGAGCCCAAAAAGTGGCAATCCAAGTAGAAGGGCTTGGCCTGCTAAAGGTAGGTTACTGAAAATAGTTTAGAAGGCTCACTAGAGCATGAAACCAATAATTTTTTTAATGGATTCGGATTATTACATAGATAAGCTCAAACTAACTCGTTAAATAGCCAAAACCAATTTAATAAGTATATATCTTTAATTACGAGGTTGTGCTTTCAATCTCCACTCCAGATATTGCACTAAAAAAAACTAACTCATCAAATATAGACAGAATCGAATTTGAATTTAAAAAAAAAGGAAAAAAGAAAAAAGTGGTTCAACTCCAAATAACTTAGATTTTTAGCTAATAATTGTGGAAAAAAATATACTACCAATAAAATATTTCTTTCTTTTTTTTCATTTCTCTGTCCTATTTGTGAAAATGGTATATGGTAATCAACAAAAGATGGATGCTAACATCAATACGTCGACATTTCCATCGATATTTCCATATATCCATGAAGTTCGATATCGACATGAAATTTCCATTCTATCACAAAAAATCGATAAAATCTGAAAAATATCAACAAAACGTCACAATATATACATAATATTAATATTAATTACTTTCAACTTATTTTCAAGTCCCTAAACATCACGTTTAGATTCCTGTTTTTAAAAAAATGAACACAATATAATACCTTCACTAAAACATAATAGAATATAGAAATCTATTGCCATCCAATCCATGCACCTTTTTTATTTTACTATTATATAAAAAATAACTAATTCTTTAAATAAAATTTTTTACAAACTAGTTTTAAAAAATAAAATACTAGCTTCTTCCTCACCTCCAAAAATATTACACTTGGCGTCCTTGTTCTGAACAAGAAGGTTTAGTGTCGGGATAGAGGGGCTTGCATGGGATGGCTGGTGTATACTAGTGTGGGGATAATTAAAAGTTTGAATATTTTAGATAATTAAGGATCCGTTTTAACTATTTTAGTTTTTAATTTCTGGTTTTTGGTTTTCTATTTTTAAAAAACAAAAACTATGTTTAATAACCATTTTTTGTTTTTTGTCTTTAAAAAACAAAGAACCAAAACATGTTTGGTAACCATTTTTAGTTTTTTACTCTTAAAAAATTAGAAAATTGAAAATACATATTAGAGAAGGGAAAATTTTATATAGGGTAGAGATGACAATGGTGTGAGTGCGAGTGAGGATGCTCTCCCCCATTCATGCTCGTGAAAATTTTAGTCTCCGTCTTCACCTCGTTCTTGGATTCGAGAGATGTTCTCGAGAAAAATTATTGGTTTTATAATTGTTTTTAATTACTTTTAGAATTTAAGTATAAAAAATTGTAATAAATATATATTAATTATTTAAATAGAATCGGGACGGGGACGGGGTCGAGACATGCATTTCCTATTTTTTGGACCCGATCATGCGAAAATTTGTATCTTGTAGAGACTATGAAAATACAAGTTTATAGAAATGAAAATAAACTTTTGGAAGCTAAATTTTAGAGAGATAAATAAAAATATTTAGAAAAGAAATAGTGAAAGAAAAGTTAAAAGACAACCAGAGAAAATTTTTAAGAAAAAAATAAAGTCGGGAAAAGATATTCTAAAGAAAAAAAAATTATAAAGAAAGAGAAAAATTATAGTGGAAATAAACTTAGAGATAAAAACAAGGTTGAAAGTATCAAAGAAAAATGAAATTTTCAGAGAAAAATAGATTAGAAGAGAAAGAAAAATTATAAATGATGAAATTTTAGAGAGAGAAAAAATTATGAAAAATATTAAATTTTTAGAGGGAGAAATAAAACTGGTCAATCAAAAAAAAATAAAAATATACAGAAAAGTTTGGAGAGAAACAAATAACAATAAATATTCAAAATATAAAAATTTTAAAGAAAGAAAAATAGAATTTGTAGAGAGAAATTTAGAGATAAAAAAATTTTAGAATGAAAAATAAATTTTTTAGAGATAAATATGAGAAAAAAAATATTTTTTTATTTTGAAAAATAAAAATCTGTGTTTGAAATTTTTTTTTTAAATGGTAAAACAGAAAATTGGTTATCAGCATTTTTAAAACTAAAAGAAATTGTTATCAAGTCTTCAAAATTTGAATATTTTGAAAACGGTGGATTACTATTAAATGTTTGACTACTAAGAAAGAAAATTTTAAAAATAAAAATTTAGTTTGAAAAAATAATGAGTCGCGAGAGGCAAAGTATTTTGTTTTGAAAATTGGATTTTGTGCCGACTACTAATAATCTTGTTCTTCTCTCCATTCCGTAACTCAGAGCTCAAACAGTAACACCATAAGGAAACTGTTTGTATCACTTTCTACTCATCCTTTTCTTTCTCTCGACGACACACAAATGGCCATCCCCATTGCAATACCACAGCAAGAATTCCTTTTGCAATTCCACAAAGCCATTCCTTTCTGTTTCTCATCTCCCTTCCCTTCCATCCCCCTTCATTTTCCAATATATAAAAACTTCCCATCTTCAGAT